AGTAGTAGTAGCAGCAGTAGTAGTAGTAGTAGTAGCAGTAGTAGTAGTAGTAGTAGTATTAGTAGTAGTATAGTAGTAGTATAGTAGTAGTATAGTAGTAGTATAGTAGTAGCAGTCGTAGTAGTAGTAGTAGTAGTAGTAGTAGTAGTAGTGGTAGCGTAGTAGGTAGTAGTAGTAGTAGTAGTAGTAGTAGTAGTAGTAGTAGTAATAGTAGTAGTAGTAGTAGTAGCAGTAGTAGTAGTAGTAGTAGTAGTAGTAGTAAGAGTGCTACGAGGAGTATGACTGGGAGTAGGAGAGGGAGTAGGAGGTACAGGTGTTGTTTGTTGTTGTTGTTGTTGTTGCGGTGGTGGTGGTTGGTGTCAAAATAGTCATCATAATTGAAGCAATAGCAACTGTAGCAATGATAATTACGAATAACAATACCTGCAAACGTTGGCCATAAGAAATATCATGGTCATACTTCAGCGCCTGCAGCTTCTCGAGCTGAGGCGAGGCTGCTGCAGCTCTCCGTCTCCTATGGCGCCACTACCCACAAAGAGCCATCGTCGCAAAGTGGGATGAACACCTGCGGAGCACTCTGGAAGATATCTTGAGCAGAGCAGCTTGCATGCAACGTACCCAGATTGGGGTATCAAGAAGGTGTGCTGAGCCGTTGTAGTCTTGCTGTGCCGGCAGGCCCAGCCTCTCACTCTGCGAAGAGACATGTGCTTGACGTTGCTCTGTGCTTGTGCCCAGGTGCTCTCAACCACATAGCCCATGATCGTTGTGGTGGTTCCCATCGCCTGCGATGCCACGCGATTTGGCGAGTGTCCTGATGCATTCCCAAGAAATCGGAGATCACATCGAGCCCGCTGTCAGCCCTTCAGTGAGAATGAAGATACAGGCACTTGCTTAGCAGCAAGAAGTTGTGGAGAGGCGCGAGGGCAATCTGGCAGTTGCAGGGCGGTCAAGGACAAGCAGCGAGACGCCCTCAGGTCCAACATGTGAGGGCCTACTGTTCATGAAACTTAACCTGTACATACGTCCTCCGAAGCCCGTTCTGAGTATCGGCCATCAAAAACGTGTCTCCTGCAGTCGTCCTTCGTTGAAACGATGTACGTGTTGAGCAGCCCCACTCCATCTTTGCCTAGCACCTTTTCTGCAGAAAAGGTATGTGTTCGTCCACTTGAGGTGGCACCGCCCGGGGCGGGCAAAACCACCGCCGGTGTCCTCGGAAAGGATAGGAGAATCCAAAGTTCGAGGTAATGTGCATAAGTTTCAAGATTGCCGGCGTTGGTTCAGTCTACCGGATACAGGCGGTCGTGCACTGGGGTGCCTTCATCAAGTCACGCATTGAAACTGAAAGGCATTGCCCACTCGATCTTCGCGTGGTGGGCAGCCAGCCAACTGTTGGACTGCTGGACATTATATTGCAGTTTTGAAAGATTTTGGAACAAGTTAGCTATCATTTGTACTGTTGGTTTTGTCGTTGTTGCTATTTCATTGTTATTATTGTTGTCATTAGTATTGTTATTCTGATTATCACGGTTGTTGTTATTTATATGGCCTCCGCTGCATCTTGCCGAGCCAACTTCGGCAGTACGCGAGAGAGTAATCAGGATTAGAGTAGTAAGGAAAGTAGTAAGGATTGTAGCAACCAATAGTAAGGACACTACTGATAATAATAGTAGTAATGCCCCGGGCTGTTGCAGGGTATCATCTGTCGTGCCGTGTGCCCGACTTCCACTGCTGTAATCTAGGGTCTCTACAGGCCGTGCCGCTGGCCCTCATGGACGATCTTGCTGACCGTTGGTGGCTCAGCCGTGTGCATCGCTGGAATTCCACGACATGCTGGCACTCTGTTACTTGTGCAGAATAGTGACTACCGCCGCTGCTGCTGCAGCTGATGGTAAGATGGACAGGGATGATACTGTGGTGGGTCGCTTGGTCAAAGTGAGTGAAGTCCATGGTCATAAAGCTTTTCAACTCAACTCTCTGCACAACCGGCTACGGAGGTGGGCCGTCAGGTCGGATTGTGGTGACGGAGCCCCGGCGTGTGGCTGCGCGTGTCAGGCACTCGGAGAAACAGCTGTAGTACTCGTTCGTTTAGGCGTTCAGTCTTTGATGCAGTGCTAGACTTGGAGGATTGCGAGCTTTCCGTTGTCTCCAGCAAGCTGTCTTGAGCACAATCATTACCATCCATGTTGCTGTACCCGCACTCCCCATCAGCTTCTTGGAGACGTGTTGCCCCACAGGGTCTCCTGCAACCTCACAGAGGAATCAACACCTTGGTGTGGGTTCTGAACGATTCGATGATGATGATGATGATCAACCCGTAGGTGCAGAAGCAGTGGCAGTCGAAGGCTTTCACCTAAGGGTCTTCCGAATACGCCCAGGATCGTGGCTGCTTGGGTCTGGGGGGCAGAAAACCGAGCTGTACTTGCGGGCACGCCTGGTACACCCGGTTTCCGGGCCCATCTTGATTCGAAGCCCTTGGAGCAGCAACAACCGGTAGCAGCCTTTCAGACCGAATGGTCCAGATCCGCCCAAAGCCCTACTATCGGCCTTGAATTCTCCCCACTTTCCATAATGTAGGGGCCTCAAGAATTACCAATACTATTTTGGGGGGTTCCTTATTATAATTATAGTATAATGGGCCCCAAAGCCCTATTTTACAGTACTTATTAAGGCCCCTAAACCCGAATAGCCCTTATGGCACCCTTTAAGGAACCCTTTAAAGGAGCCCCATAAAACCCTACTCTAATTCTTATAGGCCCCTTTTTTTTAATTGCGGGCCTCTTTCCTGCGCTGATTCTGCTGAGGCAGCTGCAAGGCGCATGGCTGCGCTTCGGGAAGAGCCGGTGTGGGGCCCAGATCAAAAAAAGGGTTCAAAGCGAGGTGTAGGCATTTGGGATGTTGTATGATACTGTTAGATTATCATTTATATTGGGCTTAGGAGGATCTTATTTACGAATCTATTTCAGAGGCTTTGTGGCGCCAACCTAGAAAGGCTCATGGGATGAAGGGAGCAGACGGAGCTGCGAGCTTGGGAGTTGCTCGCATCCTTCAGTGCCTGTAGCGAGGTTCTACATCCTGGAGTGCATTAGCGGTGGTAGCGCTGACTTCCACTAATGGTGCATGTCTAGTTGGCCACTACCGCAAGTTCACAAAAGCTGCAACGAAGCACAGTTCTTTGTTATTGCGATTGGTAAGCTGACGAAGACCCTCAAACCAGGCCAGCTGCAGGCTTCGCTTGGAGCTAAAACCGGAGGAAGTGGGTGGTTGAAGATTGAGAGTTCGTGCTGTTTTGAGACATTGCGCTTGTCATCACCCCTTCCAACTACCATTGCTCAAGGTGGAAGCAGTTGTGGTAGCCTTACGGAGACACGTCTTTTCTCTGGCTTTTGGGAAGCAGAGATGTCAGAGCGCGCTGCAGCAGTTGCTGCCTTGCTCGGCGCGGTCTTAGTGCAAGTCCCGCTCATTCACTCTCCTGCGCGGGCTGCCTGGTGCTGGCCGTCAGAGCCCCCGGTCTGTGCGGTGCCAACTGTGGCAAACGGGAAGTGTGTAGATGACAACAATGCCACGCTCACGACCATGGCACCTGCAGGGGTCTGCACCCCTATGTGTGATGACGGATACGTCCTGGTTGGCACCTGCACGCAGTTGCAGTGTCCTCGTTCAGGCCATTAAGAGCATGTCAAGGGCATGGGAGAAGTAGGCCTGAGAGTATCTGTAACATGAAGATTTCCTAAGTCTCCTTTGAAAGCTCCTGCACATCGTCAGGCCCGGAACCGGGGTGCTTGCAAGACCTCTCAGATGAGACTTGGTGGGCTCCCTGTGGATTTGGTGCAGTCTGCATTGAAAATGGAGGCAGCCTGGGCCAGCCGGCATGGGAGAGATTTGGAAACTTCCGGAACCTCGGCATGTCTTCACTCCCTGCCCCTACAGTAACCCCCAGAGACCCTGGCTGCGTTAAGAGTAGCCCTCTAAAGTAGGCTCCCTCCTTGGGTCCCCAAAACCGTACGGCACCCTTATACAAAGGATCCTAAAAGGACCCTAATACAGAGAACTCCCTATAGATCCCTTTAGAGAAACCTCAAACGGGCTACCCATAAGTCTGAAAGGTGCTTGGCCGAGGGCTCCTCGGAACTCGTGGGTGTTGCACGCTGCGATGGCGTAGCCAGGTTGCTGTAAAGGAACTTAGTTTAAGATACGATAATAGAGATGTAAAGTAAATGATAGGTTTCCTTATTCTGGTAACTTAGTTTAAGCTACCATAATGGACATAAGTAGTAAATTGCAGGGCTTCCTTTTTGTGGTAACTTAGTTTAAGCTCCTTAACAGCAACCCAGGTAGCGACGGCCACTGCGCCACCAGAGCCCGAGGGCCTCACCGATGCGGAGATGCTGGACTATGGGACGTGGCTCCACCTTGATAGCAATGGTAACAATACTGTGCCAATAACTGTCAATAATCATACTAACACTAATACTGACAACTAATACTAGAGGGTAGCTGAAGTCATCGTCATGTGCTTTTGGGATCTTGTGATCTACCACAACGAAGCACTTTAGCATGAGCCATCGCCCTCGACCCCCAACCTAAAGCAAATGTCACAATTGACAGCATCAACAGCAGCATCATGATCTTAATCACTCATTTCCAGCTTCATCATCAGCAATGTCAGCGACATGAGCGTCTTCATTAACAGCAACATTACCACCTGGACTTGCCTCCTGTTCGTTCTCTTCGTTATCATTGCCACGGTCTGAGTCATGGCCATTGCCATTATCCCTTCAGTGCGTCAGCATGTGAGTCGCCGTTCGCCACCACAGTTACAGGCATCGCCATTATCAGCCCCTGCGACGGCAATCACCATGCAACAGCAGCGACCATGTCTCGCTAGATGTCCTGGTCTCAGAAACTCCACACCTGAACCAAGCACATAGAACTTCGCACCAAAAGCTCCACGACTCGCAGCAAGCAGGCATAGCCATTTAGAACCTGCTGTCTCTTCCCCAGCCCTCAAACCTGTATTATGCCCTCTAACCTATGACCCATAAACCCTAAACCCTACCTATACTATACTATACTATACTATACTATACTATACTATACTATACTATACTAAACCCTCTCCCCTATAACCCATGGACCTCCGAAGTCCCCAAGTCCCAAAGCCAAGTGCCGAAGGCTGGGCATCCTCGGGGGCTTGATCGTCGTTGGCCTGCTCGGGGCCGTGGCTGGGCCTTCGACTCTAGGGTTTAGGAGTTTGGGGTTTAGGGTGGATCTCCTATATGGGAGTTTCAGAAGATGGTACCGCATTCAGGGGTGTTGAGAATGAGGATCCTACTATTTTTTGTGCCTCTCCTTCCTCGTCCCGTTTGGCTCAACCTCAACTAGTAGCTAGTGTCCTTATTGTACTGACCACACGATCCGTTCTGTCCTGCTGCATTGCTTTAGGTTACTCTGCGCCCTCAAGTGCCATCCTACGTATGTTACGGTGTTGCTGGTCATGCTACGTAATGTATCTTGTGTTGTCTCTGCTGCACCATGCCATGCTTAAGTTGTGCTGCGCTGTTCGTTTATTATGGCTCTTAGAAACACTGACTGTTGCACGCGTTGCAACTGTTCGTCTGCACTGCATAGCTTGGCATGTGCAAGTACATCATCGCCGCAAACTCGCATTAAATAGTTCAGGCTACTTAGGGCTTGATGCTTACTGTATAGTAATCTTGTATTGTGTTAATGCTACATTATTATCTTACTTCACACTGTACGCACGTGCGGTGTGCGTATATGTATGTGCAGTTTTCATCGATTCTGTTTGACAATGGTCCCCCGGCTTGGAAAACTGCGACTCGCTGCATGTATCAGATTATACACACTGTGTACAATGCACATCGTATGACCTAATGTATAGGTGAGATGATCTTGAACAGCCCTGTGTCGAAGACTTCAGTGCGAGACAGCCTCCCAGAAAATCTTTTTCAATCGTTGTGGTGGAGGCCCGGGGTCTGGTAAATGTTGCAATATAGGTGTCGGAATAGTTCGGAAATCTTTTCCTTAAGGTTCTTTGTTAGATTATAGTATCATCTTCCCCCATTCCTTTAAAACCCGAGTCTGCTGAAAAACCCCTACGTTACCTCCCTGCATCCCCGAAACTGGACTGAGGCGATCTCCTACACCGCTGGGGGCGGCGTGGCTCGGTGCATGCCGCTGGGAGAAGAAGGTTTACAGGTTCCCTTTCTTTCGCTTTTTGTGTAAAGGTCCGTTCGGGACATATGAAAAGACTCCTTTCTTCCGGTCATTGGTTGAGTTCCAGGTTCATGCCCGGCCCAATGCAGTGGTCCCCCAGCAACAACTTCGGCATCTTGGCCGTGCTGATCGCGCTTGTGGGCGCTTGCCTGCTGCCCCAGGCCATCGGAGCTACGGATTTACAACGTGTACATATCCAGCAATTGCCATCTGTATGTGCAAGATCTCCTGCCCATATTCCAACGTACTGCTATATACCACTACCACTACTACTACTACTACTACTACTACTAGTACTACTTAAGAACAGCCGGGTGCGAATGTGCC